ATTAATCTACCTAGGGTGAGGAAGAGAAGAGTGAATGGTGAGTAACACATGGTAGGTAATGGGGTAAAAAAGAAAAATGAAATGTGCCCATGTAAAGTGTGTGTGTGGGGGGGGGTGGGCGCTCATGACCTCTGAAAGGTAGATCTGCTCCATTCTGGGTACAAAACCTGTAGTAAACACTTAAAAAGCAAAACAACTTTTTCCATAATATTTTACTTCATTTTATTGTTTTTGTTATATATGCTACAGCAGGTAGGGCATTTGCCTTGCATGCAGATGACCTGGGTTTGATTCCCAGCATCCCATATGATCCCCCAAGCACTGCCAGGAGTAATTCCTGAGTGCAGAACCAGGAGTAACCCCTGAGCATCGCTGGGTGTGACCCCCCCCCAAAGTAGCCATTCTAACAAGTATAAAGTGATATCTCACTAAGGCTTTACTTTTCATTGGTCTAATGATTACTGATTACTAAGGACAACCTGGCAGGTTACTGAATGTTACCTGCCCACATGGCAGAGTCTGGCAAACTCCCCATGGTGTACCCAATATGCCAAATACCAGTAACAATGATGGGTCTCATTCTTCTAACCCTGAAAGAGCCTTGAATATGGCACTTTTGAAAATCTCAGGGCTGGGACGAAGGAGACGTTACTGGGGCCTGCTCGAGGCAGTTGACGAACAACAGGATGATCGTGATCATGATCGTGAATGATTACTGATATGAGCATTTTTGTTCATGTGCTATTAGCTACTGCTATATATTTTTCTAATCAATTCCTTTGTTGATTTTTATTATTTCCTCTGTTGTATTTAAGTTGCAGGAAATCTTTATAAATTCGGAATATTCATTCATTTTCAGATGTATGAGCAGAAGATATTTCTCCCCACCATTTAGTTTGTATTTTCAACCTGTTAAGCATTATTGGCTGCACAAAAACTTAACTTCTGATATAGTTTGATTTGTTTATTTTTTTGTTGCCTATGATTTTTGGAGTCATATCCAAGTATCATTGCAAAATCCACTGTCATGAAGTATTCTTAACTCTGTTTGTTTTCATTTTTTTCATTTTCTTTCTTTTTTTTTCTTTTTGGTTGACACTCAGCTATGCTCAGGGGTTACTCCTTGATCTGCACTCAGGAATTACTCCTAGTGGTGCTTGGGGGAACCATATGGGATGCCAGGGATTGAACCTGGCTGACTGTGTGCAAGGCAAATGCCCCATCTTGTCTATTTGTTGAAAAGACTGCCCCTTCCCAGTGGAATAATTTTGGTACCCAATTCTATTCCTTTATCTACAGTCTGCTTTTATACCAATATTACCTTGTTTTTGACCACATTTGCTTTATAGTGAGTGTAGAAATGAGGAAATGCTGGGAGCCAAAATGTCAGTACAGCCTGACCTGCAATTTAAGAACTAATCTCTTTTTGGAAAATATTAAAATACATTGTGTAAGTTTGTGAGCTATGCCCGGGATAAGTGCCATGAGCCCACCATTAGGGCTCACACCATGATTTATTGAAAATCTGCATGCTTTGCTAATTCCCCATTTTGCCCACTTCCTCATGTAATCAATTATAAAAGGCTAGCATGGGAGAAATAAATTCTGTCTCTCTCATTTTTTCCCATTCGTGCACCCTCTCCTAGCTATCCATGTTGACTAGTCCCGCGGGTCGGGGCAAGGAAATAAAAGACCTCTAACTTGGCACTTTCTTTGCAAAGGAGTTTTGGTTTCTTTTTTAACTCTTGCTTTTTGGGTCACATCCGCAGATGCACAGGGGTTACTCCTGATTTATGCACTCAGGAATTACTCCTGGTAGTGTTTGGGAGACCATATGGGATGCTGGGAATCGAACTTGGGTCAGCTGTATGGGCAAACGCCCTACTCACTCTGCTTTATTATAGATTTTCTTATTCTTGCAACCCCCCCCCTCCCACAAAAACTCACCTCATTGGAATTCTGATCATTATTGCACTGAATCTGTAGTAACTTTGGGTAGTACTGACTCTTTATATTATCTTTCAATCCATAAACATTGATGTCTTTTCTTTTCTTTGTGCCTTTTTTCATTTCTTTCAGAAACATTTTATATTTTTCAGTATATAAATTCTTTGTGGTTAGACTTATTTTTCAGTATTTTATTCCTTTTCCTGATATTACAAATAAAACTGAATTTCCTTTTTTTATCATTCATTTTGTTATTATAGTAGTGCTAAAATAAATATTATTATACTTTTATTATTTCCAAATGTGTAAATATCTAGAGGCTAAATGCCCTTTAAACTGAGTTGCTAGATTAAAGGGCATCATGATCACGATCATCCTGTTATTCGTCGATTGCTTTGAGCAGGCACCAGTAACTTCTCCTTCTTCCCAGCCCTGAGATTTTTAAAGAGCCATATTAAATGCTCTTTCAGGATTAGGAGGATGAGACCCATCATTGTTACTGGTATTTGGCATATTGAGTACGACATGGGAAGTTTGCCAGACTCTGCCGTGTGGGCAGGATACTTTTGGTAGCCTGCCGGGTTCTCCAAAGGAAAAACAAGACAGTAAGATGTTGCGCAGCCGCAATTGTGGCCACACGCTTCTGGGAACTGGGTTTTATAGTCTCTGCATCTTGGCCGTTGATGGGACCAACCTGGCGCCCGTGGCAGCTGGTGGGTGTGACGCCTACCTACTGGAAGATGGGGTATCTGGGTGGAGAAGTCCAGTCCCAATTCGAGCAGGCTTGGAGATCTCAGCCCTGGGAACCACATGCCTGGGTTCCTCTGCCGATTCCTTTATGCATGAGGCTTGTCCGGACATGTGGACAGTGGTCTCAGCATGACTGTGGCTGGTTCTGGAGGTCTTCGGCTGCTGGGGCTCTGCTTGGGGCAGTGGGAGGGAAACTCAACCCTCCCCCCTCCAAGGGGCCCCGGTGAGGACAGCTAGGCGCAGGGGCAGGAGACTCTGGGCACATGGCTCCTAAAGTTGACAAAAATTGCCCAGTTGTTTTAAATAGTTTGTGAACTTGAACTTCTACTAGCTAAGTGTTTAAAAATCCATTGCACTACTCTTTACTACACACAGTGAGTTATCAGTTTTATCATTATCATCTTCTTTAATATGGCATACAACTATAGGTTCATGCTATTTTTACCCTGTTATGGATGAATTAGTGCTTCTGTGTATATTTAATATTTTTCTATATGTTATCTATATATACTTCATTATTTTATTATTGATACATTTTTTATTACATTATATATTTCATATTAAATATCATTATATGAGGAATAAATAATTGAGAAACAGGATTAATTAGGAAGAAAAATGCTAAGGTTGGTGGATAGAAATTTTGTTACTTTGCTGTTCAAGTTTTTATCCTCAGAAAAATCTCTTCTGAGTTACAATCTTAATTTTCTTTGTAAAATCAGTAGTTCTATACTCCAGACTTGTGTTTGCACCACTTCACATTCACACTTTCTCTTTTTGACTGTTTTTTTGTATATTTACGCTCTAAGATTACCTTCTGAAGATAAAAGAAGTGAAAATACATGGAATTTAAGTAGAAAAGAACTTCTGCTTATTTTCATGATTGAGCAGTTGATCCTTTTATCAGAAGTAACCAAATGCACTAGAGAGGATGGAACACAGCAAGACTTTAGAGGCTACTATTCTAAGAAGACAGGGAAAAGGAGATGAACTACACTTCACATTCACAGTGAATTTTTTTCCTGTTTGTTTTGCTTTTGGCCACACCCAGTGATGTTCAGAGGTTATTCCTGGCTCTATGCTCAGGAATTAATCCTGGGGGACCATATGGGATGTTGGGAATTGAACCATGGTCGGCCGAGTGCAAAGCAAACACCCTACTCGCTGTACCATCTCTCTGGCCCAAGATTTTTATTCTTTCTGATAATCTGTGACGATGCACTGAATAGGAGTGTTATGGGACATGGAGGTAGGTGGAAAAGAATGAAGGAAGGAGTATTAAAGTTGTCAGAATCAAGTTTCCTTGAACTGAGAATATAAAGATAAAGAATTTGGAGTTTATGGCTACAAAGCAACTGGGATCGGCAAAAGTTTTTTTTCTGCCTTCATTTTTTCTTTTTGCGGTGCTGGGGATTGAACACACTCAAGGCAAGAACTCTATTACTGAGCTACATCCCCAACCAGAAATGAATACTGAAGAAAAAAAAAGGTCACAGGGATATAAGGCATAAGCCGGGATGCAATCTCCTTTCAAAGAATTGTTAGATTTCTAAGACATTTCTATACAAGTTGAGTTCTTAAGAAATCTAAGAAAAAGTGAAATCTGGGAGTCTGTAAACCTGAACAGAGGTCTCAGAAGTTATGGGGTTCAAGGATCACAGAAATAAGAAGTCAGGGTCTGCTTAGGAGTCTTGGAAATAGTCCAGATTTGCAGCTGATATTAGAAGACCGAACTCTTATAGTAATGCCTGTACTCCAGTAATAAGAGCAAAATTATTGTAGACTATTTTCATAACATCTAAAAGTATTTCTTAAATGATATCAAAGTGATAAGCTTCTATTCTATCTTTATACTAGAAATAAAAGTCATCTTCATTTCCACTATACCATTCTCATTAAAATTTTTAAAATATAATGGTCAGCATTCTATTAAAACAGTTGAGGCAAAGCTAAGAAATAGAACAAATGATTCATATCCAAGAGAAGAAATACACAACAAAAACATTCTCATAGGCAGTTTAGGTTTTGGCCCAACTAGAATAATAATATTCTGCAACAAATCAGTTCTCTGTTGTTATCTGTTTTTGTTTTTAAGTCACATCCGGTGGTGCTCAGAAGTTACTCCTAGCTTGGTGATTGGGGAGACCATTAAGTGCTCAGGACTGAATCTGGGTCTCCTACATGCAAGGTTAACATTCTAGTTCTTTGAGCCTTCTTTTTGCTCTTAATAAGTTATGCTTTTTAGCCTGAAAACAAATAAAATACAAGCTTAATTACCCAAGAATCTTATTGACGAACAGTTTTTATATTCCCAGAAATTTCTGTAGGGCCTTTTTCATATCTTTATTCCTAAGGCTATAGATCACAGGGTTAAGGAGTGGGGTCACAACAGAATAGAACAGAGTTATTATCTTCTGGGTTCCAGCATCATGCTCAGATGTTGGGCTCCCATACATGACCAATACTGAACCATAAAACAGTGAAACCACTGCCAGATGAGAACCACAAGTAGAGAAAGCCTTTTTTCTCCCAGCTGCTGAAGGTACTTTGAATACGGCTCTTAGAACCAGAGCATAGGACCCCATAATGAAGAGAAAGGGAATGATGAGGGGTAGAGGACTTAAAGTGGAGAAAACAAGCTCTATTATAGGAGCTTTTCTACAAGTGAGTGCTAAAAGTGGACCTGGGTCACAGAGGAAGTGGTCAATAATCCTGGATCCACAGAAAGACACTTGGGAGATGAGAATGATGGGAACCAAGAACCAGAGGAAACCAAATACCCAGCAGCCAATCACAAGATTGGTGCAGAGACGTCTTGTCATGATGGTCGGGTAGTGCAGAGGTCGGCAGATGGCAAGGTATCGGTCAAATGCCATAATAGCCAGGAAAAAGCATTCTGTAGAGCCCAAGGAGAAGAAAAAGTAGAATTGGAGAAAGCAGCCAGAGAAGGAGATGACCTTGGTGTCAGAGAGGAAGTTGGCCAACATGTTGGGGACAGTGGAGGTGACATACCAGATCTCCAGGAAGGAGAAGTTGGCAAGCAGGATGTACATGGGGGTGTGAAGTCTCTGATCCCAGCGTACAGCACAAATGATGGCACCATTGCCCATGAGGGTCAGGAAGTAGATGATTAAGAAGAGCAGGAAGAGGAGAATTTGTCCCTCCTTGGGGCAAGGGAAGCCCAAGAGGATGAAGTCAGTGATGATATTGGAATTATTGGAGATTTTCATGTGTTTGATAGCTGTGGAAAAAAATCATAAAATATTGAATGACTGTATAGACAGAGATCCATTGTTCATATTTAAATCATGTTGGATAGGATTATTGCCCCATATTTGGAAGCCTGCCTCATGAGCTGGGGGAGAAGGCAGCTAGAATAGAGAAGGGATCACTAAGACAATGATGGTTGGAGGAATCGTTTGGGATGGGAGATGTGAGCTGAAAGTAGATAAAGGACCAAAAGTGATAACCTCTCAGTATCTGTATTACAAACCAAAATGCCCAAAAGTAGAGAGAGAGAAAGAGAGAGTATGGAGGAAATTGTCTGCCATGGAGGCAGGGGGAGTGTTGGAAAGGGGGAGCATACTGGGGACATTCGTGGTAGAGAATGTGCACTGGCAGAGGGATGGGTGTTTGACCATTGTATGATTGAAACTCAAACATGAACGTTTGTAGCTGTATCACGGTGATTCAATTAAAAAAAATAAAATCATCGTGGAAAAGAGAATACTCATTAATAACTATGTTATTTTTCTTAAAAACTTAAATATTTACCTGAATTGCATTATTCTCACATTTTCACTGAGGACTAAAGAAACTGTTGGTTGCTTGTAGCTGTTAAAATTTTTGGTGACGGGTGTTGTGAAAGTAGTTGAATATTAAATTATATATTGCACTTAATAGAGTATCTCTCTCTCATAAAAATGAAAATGACTTCATTTTGTGAAGAGACCACTACAGTCATGGCAGAAAATGAGTCAAATTATGTAACCAGTTAAGGCAAACTCATTGGACTTTTAAAACTTACTTTTACATCACATTTTAAAATAGCTGCATTCAAAAAATTATTAACTCATTAAATTAATAATATTGTATTGCTAAATCTATCTGTAAAACAGCCAACCAATCTAAGAAAACAAGTTTTACGTCCTGTTATGTTAAAACAGTTATCCTATCCATGCCAGAGGCAAAGGTGGAAGAATTATTAACCAGCCATGTTGAAACTGGTTGGATTGGTGGAAATGTCTATGATTTTTTTCCAGTCTATACTTTCAGTTACAAAGCTACTCAAATTGTACAAGTTTGGATATTCCAAAACATAAAATTCTAAACAAGAATAGACTTTTAGGGGATAGAAATCTAAATCCTTGCCTCATCCCTCACTACTTGGGAAAATCTCAGAACAGAGTGCCTCTCAAAGCTGAGTATTGCATGGGGCTGGAGTGATAGCACAGCGCATAGGGCGTTTGCTTTGCACATGGTCCAGGCAGGTTGATTCCCAGCATCCCATATGGCCCCTCGAGCACTGCCAGGAGTAATTCCTGAGTGCATGAGCCAGGAGGTTACCCTGAGCATTGCCGGGTGTTTCCAAAACGCAAAAAAAAAAAAAAAGAAAAAAGCTGAGTATTGCATAATGCCTTTATTTTGTGTTTTTTTGGGGGAAAGGGGGTGAGTGGGGACTTTGAGTCACACCCAGTGGTGTTCAGGGGCTATTTCTTTTTCCCTGCAGTGATTCCTCAGGTGCTCAGGGACTTAATTTTGTTTTAAAGGAGTTGAAATACTATTGTCAAATAACCATGCACTTCTGCCTTGGAATTAGATCTCTCTGTAAATAAACACATAAATGATCAGCATAAAGGAACCCCTCAGGACTTCTATGTGAAATCGTATTTTGTTTTTAAAAAAGTTTACATGGTGAATCAGTTGATCTAATAGTTTCTTACAGAGAAAATACCAGTTCTATAAAACGTTTAAGGAAGCTTAAGGTTGCCACCTTTCTCAACTAGATTGGTGTGGGTATTTAGAGGAAGCAAATATTTGCTTTTAAGAGATCATTAATATAAACTAAAATTATATGAAATTAAAAATTATTTGGATATCTTAAATTATATGCATGGATTTATAATAGGTTTATATTGGAGCCAGAAAGAACCAGCATGAAGGAACAGGCAGAGGAACCCAGGTATGCAGGACCCATGGCTGAGATCTCCAAGCCTGCTAGGATCAAAACTGGGTTTCTCCCACCCAGATCCCTCATTTTCCAGTAGCTTGGCAGTCACAGCCACAAACTGCATTGGGCGCCATGTAATCTCATCAATGGCCAAGATCCAGAAACTATAAAACAAAGCTCCCGGGAGGGAAGAGAGTGATGCAGTATTTTCTTTCCACATGGCGGATCCTGGCAAGCTACCAGTGGTGTATATGATATGCCCAAAACAGTAACAATAATGGGTCTCATTCCCCTGACCCTAAAAAAGTCTCCAATATGGCAGAGTTGGGAAAGATGAGTAAGGAGAGACTGCTAAAAATCTCAGGGCTGGGACGAATGGAGACGTTACTGGCACCTGCTCGAGTAAACTGATGAACAATGGGATGACAGTGGTTGAGAGGGAGGAATGCAATTTATTTTGGAGAAGATAAAGGGAGTAATTTTAATATGTAGCTGACCTGGGTTCGATTCCTCCGTCCCTCTTGGAGAGCCTGGCAAGCAAAGAGAGTATTCCGCCCGCATGGCAAAATCTGGCAAGCACCCCTTGACGTATTCGATATGCCAAAAACAGTAATAACAAATCTTACAATGGAGACATTACTGGTGCCCGCTTGAGAAAATCAATGAACAACAGGAGGACAGTGCTACAGTGCTACACACATTCTTTAAAGACATCTGTCATCTAGATTCTTTTTCCCACTGGGATCACTCCAGCATTGCTAAGTGAGGGTGGGTAGGATTACTTCTGGTGGCCCTGAGAGTTTCCTCGTGGTATAGAGAAGCTGGGGAGTGAAGAGTCTTTAGGACTAGAACTAGCCGTGCCAGGAATCTAACTAAGAGACTTACATATTCTAGGGATGTGCTCTCCCACTTTCTCTATTTCTCTGGCCCTTAATCTATATTTTGCTGTATTAAATTGAAATAAATTTTGTGGACTTTGCTCTTGGTGGTGGAAAGGGAGACTAAGTTCTGGTACCTCCACCAAGAATGTTCTTTGACCATGTCTTTATTTTTTTCTTTTGCCCAGGGGAAGTACGTTTATAAGACTATGTATTTATCCTTCATAAGTAGTTGCTGAATACAGGTAGTGAAAGAATGTAAAGTTTTAAGAAAGATAGTCTGGGATTAGGGATGTAGTTCAAGTGGTAAAGTACATGCTTTGCATATATGAGACCTGGGTTCATTTTAAAAAGTCTGTTCTGGGCCTGGAGCAATAGCACAGTGGGTAGGGTGTTTGCCTTGTATGCAGCCAACCCGAGTTCGATTCCCAGAATCCCATATGGTCAAGCAGGAATTACTCAGGAGTAGTTCCTGAGTGCAGAGCCAGGAGTAACACTGTGCATTGCCAGGTGTGACCCAAAAAGCAAAAACAAACAAACAGGTCTGTTCCAACTTTCCTTGTTGCAACTTCACAGCTAAATTACAAAAATTGGTTCCCAAAGCCACAGGGATTTGCAGGAGGGGAGGCGGGGGGGCGGTTTGCACCCCCACCTCTCTTTCTCTTGCTCACACTCTTTTCCTCCCTATTCTTTCTCCTCTCTTCTACTTTCCCTCTCTCTTCTACTTTCTCTCTCTCTCTCTTTCTCTCTCTCACTCCCTCCACACACACACACACACACACACACTCACTCACACATCTAACCACCCACACCATTCTACACCATAGTGCACATATATGCACACACATTTTCCTCCCTCCACACAATGTTTAACTAATATAGTGCTAATTGATCTTCTTCTGGGGGGTTATTTATTAAGCAGTCAAGTACTTTACTGATTAAGGGTCTTTGTTCTTATTGTCCTTCATGTCTATTTTTATCCATAATGCCAAACATAATATAAGGAAGATGGTAGGTATTTTGTAAATATTTCTTAAAGAAATTATGTTTTTTACCGTGTTACAAACATAGATAATGTAGATGATGACAGATATTAATCAATGAATTCATTTGCATTTCAAAGAGTTTGGGGATAAAAATTTTAGAAACAAAATATGCAAAACTCTAAATCATCTGAGGCTAAGAGAGTGTTGGCCCAGACTCAAGGAATTCCATTCAAAGGAAGTAATGGGAGACTGAACATTTTTGAAGAACTTATTTCTTCTCCAATTGTTAACGGTAACTGTGATCTCACAGATCTAGAGGATGAGAGAGGAAACAAAAAATTCTAGATTCAATACTAAAATATAGTTGTCAAGTGGCTCTAACAGATTCTGTAAATTCTTATAAGTTTGTTTTCTCTTTAGGAAAAGGGAATAGGATTATGGTATTTTTGTTTTGGAGCCATCCTGCTGGTGCTCCCAGTTCTATTTTCTGGGGTCACCTGGGACCATGTAATGCTAGGGAGAGAATCAGGACCCCTGCATACACAGAGTACTTTGCCAGTTGAATTATTGCTCCCTCTCAATGATATAAATTTTTTTACATTTCATTATAAATTACTTACTTCTATTTTAAGTATAGTGTGAAATAAAGAGGTGATTTTTATAGATGCATTTCGCTTGCAGATGAAAACATCTGTTAACTAATTTGTCAGTTACACAAAAACCTAGAAGATTGGGGCCAACTACCCTTTAGCGCAATGCTCCAATTTTGAGAGCCTGACAAAACTGCCTCAGAAAACAAGAAGAATGTGAAAAATGATTCTCTGTGTTCCACCACCATTCCTTCTGTACTAAATAGTGGGTGAAGACAATACATTTCTTACAAGATTATATTACTTACTGTCTTTTATAACTTGCTTCCCCTGAACAGAAAGCAGCAGTTTTTTTCCCCCCTTCTGTTTTACCTAGAACAAGACTAAGCAGGAACTGTTGGAAGTGGCAGGTAGATTCCCCTAAATTAACTGCAGAAAGTGTTGTTGCAGAGGGATTATAAGTGTGGATGCTATATTGTCAAAACTGAGTTGTGAAGAAAGAATGTTTGGACCAAGAAAATTCAAAATTCAAACCAAACAAACTACACCCTCACTTCACTTCGTTATCATTCAGGAAGTTTGCATAGATTCAGTGTAGGTTAACCAGGT